TAGATTGGCAAGGCCAAGTCGAGGAAAATTGGGTAGCCATTTTGAACATCGAGATGAGATAGAATGGAGGAATACATCACTGAAACAACTGGGAAAGTGGAGAGCATGGAGGAGGCAAATGTGAAGAATGACAAAGACTAAAATCAACAAGGGAGGCCAGGCATGGTTGTACCTGACTGTAATGCCAGCACTAGGAGTTCCAGGCCAGCCTGGGGGTGATGTAACCAATGTACAATATAAACTTATTTGGAATTGTCACTATGAATCCCCCCTGTACAACAAATATATCCTAATTTTAAAAAAATAAGAAAGGAGACTAAATCCACAGGGAAGGCAAGTGCCTGTGAGCCAGTGATGGCTTCGTGGCAGAAATAAATACTTTGGGCTGGACAATGAAAAAAAGAAAAAAGTAAAATTAACAGGACTCAGAGGCTGTTTTTAGCCTCAGTGACTGGGCCAATATGATGGTGGTTACTGAAGTAGGTACAGAGGAAGTTTATTGGGGAGAAAAAAATAGGGTTAAAGATCCCTACTGAGAAAATTTCAGGGCTGCAAATATAACTCTCACTCCTTAATTCACTCAATAAATATTTATGAGACTGACATAGAGAAATTAATATTTTATTTTGCCAGGTGAAACATGAAAGAAAGTAACATTCATTCACCATCACCTTCATTTTGAAAAAGAGATTATTTTGCCACCAAAAAATAGGAAGGGCATACTCTCAGAATGAGGGACATTTTTTTAAATAATTGAATAAGTTTAGATTACTGGAAAACTGTCCTTGATGGGGGGGGGTGTTCTTCCTTTTGCTACAACCTGTTGAAAACAGCACTGTGTATTAGCCCATCTGTGGACCTGCATTTGAAGACCAGTGATTGGAGAAATGGGCAGAAGAAGAGAGGTTATCAAAAGAAACTGTGAGCCAGGAGTGTGGTACATGCCTGTAATCCCAGCACTCAGGAGGGTGAAGCAAAAGGATCAGGAGCTTGAGGCCAGCCTGGGCTACAGAGTGAAAGCCTGTGTAAAAAAAAAACAACAAGAAAGAGAGATTATGAGGTTCAATCCCCAGCACAGAGAGAGACTGCTAAGAATGATTGAGATATAGGAGGAAAAGCAGGAGAGACTTATCATAGAGGCCACAAGAGGAAGGAGAGTTTCAGAAACAAGCACTTGGTTAAGTCTCTTTTGCTACCCAGAGTTCAAAGAGGTCATCAAATTTGACAATTAGGAAATCATTGGTGACCTTTGGCAGTGCCCTTTCACTGGGATGATGGAACTGGGGCCAAATTGCAGTTGGCTGAGGTGTCAATGGAAAGCTGGGAAAAGTGTAAGTCTAGAGTGTAGACTGTACTTTCAACAAACTTGAGGATGAAGAAAAGAAAAGAGAGAGGGTAGGAAAGAGGGAGAGGAGCAAGGAGGGTGAGAGAGAGATAGCAGAAGAACACATGTGCTGAGGGAGGCTGCTTAATTTGGGGACAAGTATTTTGTTCTCAGAAGGGAAAGAGCTGGTACAGGGAAGCTGAACTTTCCTGAAGAGAAGCATAACGTCTGGAGAAAGGGCCCAGAGTAGAAGGGTGGATAGGGCCAACACCCAGGCTGAAGGATTACCCTTTAACAAAATGGGCACCTTGTCCCCTGAGAAGGGAGGGCTGGAGAGGAAGGAAGTTGGAGAGGCAGGCCAATTTTGGGGAGAGGTGGGGCAGGGCACTGAGGTAATTCACGCTTGAAGGCCTGTGTTTTCTCAGGGAAGTAGGAGGAGAGGTTGTTCTGAGCAGGGAGTGGGGTGGAGCAGGAACACGATAGGGAGCTGAAGGAAGTTTGGAATGTGGCCCAGGGAAATGCAGAGGCTGCAACTGGGGACTTGACAAGGGAACATGTTCAAGGATGACTGAAGGATACCAGTCTGTCAGAGGCTGATTGAGTCTGTCTTTCTCCAGCATGTTTTGTCACCCTCTCTAGGCTCTGAGTACCTTAAGGCAGGATCCACAGCATCTTCCTCTTTCCAGTCCATTCCCTCACTGGGCAATGTCCAGCAAGGGGTCTGACCCAGAGGAGACAGTCAGGCCTCTCAGAAAGGTCTGGCAAAGCACCTACTGATGAAACCAGAAGCAGGAAATGATGGTTAAGGAAAACAGAAACAATGTAGTAAGTGCACCATAGGAAGTTCTCCATTTTGGTTGATCTAGATCTTTCTTGCTATCCTGCTGGCCACCTTACTCTTGTTCTGTGCCAAGTGCAGAAGAGAATATCCAGGCTCCATTTTTCATTCCTACCAACAGGCCTTTAGTCCTACAGGCTTGGGACAGGCCAAGAAGAGAGGCCAATGCCTTCATCTCCCACAGGCTGAATTAAGCTAAGGAAATTCTTAAGGGGCAACAAGTCAGAGCACTTGGGTAAGGAGAGCAAAGAATTGTGGAGATAGGACTGAAGGCTTCCTGGGCTCTGGGACAGCGTGGTGGGAGCTGGGTGTAAGGGGAGCCCTGAGGCTGTACTGCTCAGGGGAATGAAGAGAGTGGCTGAAGGAACACAAGTTCAAGGTGGGAGGTGGCAGCATGACTGGCATGGTTGTCTACCTGAGCATGAACCATTTCCCTCCTGCCTATTGTCAGAGGCCACCTAGATACCAAAAGGATTTCAGGGTGTGACAATATGTCTTTGACTTCCTTCTCTGCTTTCTCCTTCATATGTTGTTTCCTTTCAGGTCAGTCTCCTCTTCAACTTTGCTCCTTCTCTCAGCGTCATTCCTCATTACAGCCAGTGATGCAGTACCAGCAAATTCCCCTCTCAATGAGGCCAATCCAGCAAGAATGCTCAGAAGATGATAGAAGCTCTGATAAGGGAGGACTGATAGCAGCCTTCTCTTTTTCCCCCAGATTCCCCTCTTCAGGATCCAGGATCCAGCCTGCACTTACAAAACTCAGAAACAGAGAGAGAGCTCTCCCTGGTCCAAAGCAGCACATTCCACTGGACTCATTTCATCTCATGTAATAAGGCTCTGTTTATTGAGGGCAGGTATAGGGCCAGACCCTTGGGTTAGGTGGTGGCTGAGCTGTTAGAAAGTTTTCCTTTGACTGAGCCAAAATGTGTCTCTCTGTAGCTTCTACCCTTAGGCCTCAGCCCTGCCCTTTGAAGTCACACAGAATAAGTATAATCTCCTTGTAGTCTAATCCTCAAATTCAAAATGACTGTCATTTTCCCAAGAGTTTCTCTTCTCCAGGGATAAGCATGTCTTGCTTTGTTTCTTCTTATTTCTGTCTTTACTTTTTGTTACCCAAATAACAAAAACAAGTTCAGTTGTGGAACTTTTTAGAAAATTCAGAAAAGTATAAAGAAGGAAGTAAAAATCCATCTTCTTTCTTACTCCCAGAACTGACCATTGTAACATCCTTTCTTCTAACCAGTCTTTATTCTCTGCATACTGTACATTCCACACTTTTTTCTCACTAAAATCGGATCATCCCCTAATATCTTAGAAGCTTATGTTTTTCACTCTTGAATATATTAACATTTTACTTATTGTTTTTATTATGAATTTGTTTAAAAGTTCAATGATTTATTTAACTAGCTTTTACAAGTAAGACGTTTAGGTTGCTTTCATTTTTTTCTTTGCTTCAAAGAACATAGTGAGGCTGAAATTTGAAGTGGTGCGGAGGTGAGGGATAGGTGAACAGATTAAAGGGGAGCCCTTGAATCAAATGAGTATTTTAATGTCTGATATTTTTCTTTTTCCATGTTGATAATTATACTTCCTAGAACATGATTGTGTCTGTTTAGTATTTGGTTGCAAGGGTTTGTCCAGATTAATGTAACTGGTTTTCTATGATTGGACATTGAGGTTATTTCTAATTTTTGACCATTACAAACCAGGCTATGATAAATTTCCAAGACACTAAATCTGTGCTGGTGCTGGACACTGAGGTCAGGGGGAATGTTTTTGAGACCTCTAAAGCATAAGGTGCCTGCCAATAGTTGTAATTGGAAGCTTTTTGGCAAAGGCCCAGAAGGCTAGCTAAGGCCAGAACTGAGCTCAAGCCTCTGGGCTTGCTCAGGTCCAGTACCTATTACCCAGCTCCTGTCACAGAGTGTTCAGGCTGGCAGGGCCCTTGGGGACTACTGGGCCAGCACCCTCATCTCAGGTGAGAGAACCAAGGCCTGGAATGGTCCTTTGGTAGCTTAGTGCCAGGCAGAACTCTGCCTGCCCCCAGCATCTTGGCTCCTAAACTGGAAGTTTTGCTCTGAGATTTGGAATCTGCCCCAGAGGCCCCGTGAACAGCCTGTGGCCTGCTCTCCTTCACTGCACCACTACTGCTGAGGCAAGGGGTGCGGTTCAGACACTTTTGCAAGTAAACTATGAAGGGGTCGGGGGATTTAAAAGACTTGAAAGTTTATTCCACAGGCAACTGGGCTTGCTCCACCCAGAGCCTCCTTTTTTCCTGACCCCAATGACATGCTTAAATGGCAGTCACCTTGTACCAGGCCCACCTGGCAATGTCTTTGAGATTTGAGCTGAAATAGCAGGTGAGTCCCTCACTCTTCTTGAGGGGACAACTGTCTCTTATCACTGGGAACCAGCTTTGCTAAAGGCCTGTCCACCCAGTCCTCTGTCCTGACAACCCTAGGTGGTTTCGGGTGCTAATGAGCTCCCCTCCTTCCCCTCTTAGGCCTTGATACTGCTTGGGGAATTCACAGAAATGGTGTGAAATTTGCTCCTTCTTTGTTTTCCTTTCTGACTTGGAGCTAAAACAAACCCTTCACCCCCCACTGCCACCCTGTTTATTCAATTGGGAGAGATTTCACACCCAGGAACCCAGCTCTCCCTCCTTGAGCCCCCTCCCTAAATCTTCTCCCCACTCCTACATCCCTGTCCCATACTCTTAGAATAATTGATGAGTTCAGGCAGGGCTTATAAAAGGGTCTCTGGGGGGACAGCCTAAAAGCCAGCAGAAGGTTCTGAGGGGTAAGAGAGCCCAAAACCCTCCTGTTTGGTGTCCTGAGGATGGAGCCTGCTGCTGTCGCCACTGAGCCATCCCTGGCCCTGGCCCTAGTTCCTGCCCTAGCACAAGTCCCTCAGGCACTCCCTGGCTTGTCACACCCATCGCCACTTCTCTCTTCTGGACAAGAAGTACCTGGGAGTGATAGGTAAGTGGAATGTGGCCTTTGGCAACCTGAGCTCAGGCTTAAGGGGATCCTGGGAGAGGGAAGAGATTGAGATGCCCACTGTGCCTTTGTTCTCTATGAAGGGAAGAGGCAGTGGCCTTGCAGCCCTCCCTCCACATTTTTGGTTGGAATATTTCATCTGGCTTTTCACTGAACTGATCCCTTGTGTAGCAGGAGAGGACGAGGGGATAGTGGGAATTGCTGAAGGTGAAGCCTAGTGGCCAGACTCTCACTGGTCAGGTTGCACAGTTTACTGAGGGGCACAGGGAAGAAACTGCCATGAACACCCAGACTGTGGAAACTAGACTGAAGTGGAGAGTGCTGGGATAAGAGGGCCAAAGTCTAAAGAGGCCTTTGACTGGGTGTGGCCTTTTTTTCTGGTCACACCATAACATTACCATTTGCCTTTTTCTTACCTCTGTGAGTCTAGAGGGGAAGCAATGGACCCAGAAATATTTATGGCCCATGTCTCCATTTCAGGAAGATAGTAGGGTTCTAAGCTCTACTTCTTGGAGCAGGACATAGGAGGCAAGACATTATCCATCCAACATTCATTCATTCCTCCAAACATTTTCTATTCAACAAACGCTTACTGGTGCACCTACTGTGTATCAACGATTGTGCTAGGTACTGAGGAATCAGATATGATCAAACGTCTCTGAGCTTAAGAAGTTCAAATAGGCAACCACAAATCAATAGGACAAGAGCAATGAAGCAGAAAGAAGGGCCAACTTTCCTGGACTGGACTTGGGGGATTTGAGAAAAGCATCCTGTAGCAGATGGTCATGAGTCAAGCTTTTTGCAGGCCTTTTCTAGTATCTCAGAGAGCCCATTTTTCCATCTCTTCATCCAACCAATTGATCTCTCTACTTTGTCCTAGAGGATCTTGTCTTTGGAGGCCTTGGCTGTGCTCCACAAATGACCCCCCAAGGCAGATGAGGAAGCTGGTGGATTGGGTGAGTTTGAATCACTATGACATGTTTTCACAGGCACACAGAGCCATGTGCATTCACACTGGCCGAGTCCTGTCCCAGAGAGCCTCCGACCTCAGTCCCGGGTTGCAGATTTCCAGGGAAGCATCCTTACAGCTTTGCTAGCATTTGATTTCCGTGGGAGGAGGGTAGGCCCAATGTTTCTGTGCCAAATGGAAAGATGAGGAGACCGAGACTCAGAACGGGGAAGGCCCCACAGCAAGTGTGTGGCAGAGCTGGTGCTTGAATCCCTATCTCCTGGCACCTTGCCTCTGTGTGCTCCCACCTCACCTCCTTGAATCTTTGTTGCTCCAGTAGAACTCTGTCCCCTGGAAAGTCTCCAAATGGGTGTTGGAACAGGGGCAAGAAAGCAAACAAACTCTAGGACTCTGTCCACTTGTTTTCCAACCAGATCCAAGATAGACCCCCTTGCTGCTTGCAGGGCAGGGCTGGGAGGTGGCTGGACCCCAGAAATGTCTAGGTCTCTTCTAGATCACTCTACCTGCAGGTTTCTACCTCTGATATGAAGGAGGCCATATCTAGCCCTCTACTTTGGGCCACATGCTAGCTTTTGCTTTGGACAGGCTGCTTGTGGGACAACAGCTGCTGAGGCCACCAAGGCTGAGTCTGAGTTCCATCACCCTGTCAGGTAAGCTTCTGGCACAAAGCTCAGAACTTGACATGGACCCATTAGCTCTTTAAGTCCTCAGGACAATTCCATGAAGCATGAGGAAAGAGGCACTGCATCACAGATGAGCAAACCGACATTCAGAGAGGTTAAGGGACTTGCTTGGCCAAGGTTACTTTCCCTGGAAGGAAAAGTCAGTGACCCCCAAGGATGAGCTCCTTTGCACTCAGCAGTGAAGGAATCCTTAGTGGGAAGAGATAGGAGGCACAGGGCTGGAGAATTCTTGGCAAGAAGCCTCCTAGGCTGGGGGGTGGGGTAGGATTAGGGCCAGGATTGATAGATAACTGATACACAGGCCCCACAGCTGTAGGCTCACCAGAGGTGACCTTTCTTCCTGGGGTCATTTTGTAACAATTCAAAAGGTTCTGTTACAAAGATCTCTTTCTTTCTTTCCTCTGACCCGGTTAGTGCAGCTAAGAGAAAGGGTTTAGGGGACAGCTTCATTCTCAGTCCTATTGGCCCCTGCACATCTGAGAGCTGTTTAAGTTAGGTGTCTTTTGTGTTCACAGGCTCTTCTGGCCTAAATCCCGCTCCTATGACTACCTGTATAGTGCTGGGGAGATTTTACTGAATCACTTCCCTGTCCAGGCTACTATCAACCTATACGAGGACTCTGACAGTGAAGAGGAAGAGGAGGATGAGGACGAAGAGGAAGAAGGAGAGGAGGAGAAGAAAGAGGAGGCCAATGAAAAAAGGCCAGAAGGGTGTGTGAGGATATCAGGGTCAGCACCACACAGGGCCATAGCTCACCTCCCTTCCCCTCCCATGACCTGTCCAAACTGAAGCTGTCCCAGTCAGACTGGGGTTCAGTATACCTGACATGTTCCTAAGGGTGTTGATTAGCCAAGAGTCTCCAAGCACAGATTTCTGGACTGGAAACTGTGTCCTCAAGCTGCCCAGCTTCCCCTACTGGCCTGTGAGCCCTGGCCTCTGTCATCTCATTGCCTGGGCCGCTCGTGTGTCAGCAGTGGAAGGGTCCTAGGAGCTCTAGGGTAAGGAAAACCTGCTTTTTGAGCCACCCCCCAACCCCCGGGGAAGTAGAGCAGGACAGGGTATGCCCTACAGAGGGGAGCACTCACTCCTCAGGGCCCTTTGACCCCTCAATCTTCCCAGGTGACTGCGTAGTCAGGTCTCCCCATGGAAAGCCTGACTTGTGGTTTCATCTCAGGGATACCAACACCAGATCCAAGCAAAATTGGGGTGCCTTTCTGATGGGTCTGGCAGGAAAGGAAGTAGGTACCTAGAGAATCTGCTTGCTCTTGGGACCCCAACACACTGCTTGCTATTCATTCAAGTCTGTGTGTTGGCATGAGATGAATCAGGAGAAAAATAAACTGGATGATGTTTGCCTTTTTCTTGGAACTATGCTGATTTCTTAACTGAACTCTGCCCATGTTGTGAGGCCATGGGTGTGTTGGGGGAGGGGGTCAGAGACCAGCTCAAGGCCAATTCACTGCTCTACCTGAGGTCAGTTGACAGATTTTTCTCCACTGGAACACAGGACTGGGGACCCAGTATGGGGCCAGGCCCTCTGTGTCAACTTGTGAAATGAGGCTTAATTAAACTTCAAGGACAACTTAAAAAAAGAACAAAAAAGCCCCCAAAGGACAGCTTGAATGTTGGGAGTAGGGGATGGGATTGGGAGGAAGGTAAGAGGTAAGACCTTGGAGATGACTTTGTGCATGTGAGGAGGGGTGCTGGGGTTTTACTAAATCCTGTCACTATTTATTATCTCCTCCATTCTCTTTGTGTCTATCACAGCTCAGGCCTCCATGTTTGCCTCTGCCCGAATTACCCTTCAACTCTGTTTCTTGCTTCTTACATGGCCTTTTGTAATTTGTCTTGCACACTGTCCACTGAATCAAACCAGGTCATGCCCTTGCCTCACCAACAGCTGGGCTTATAGTTTGTTCATCTGTGGGTTTTTTGTTTTCTGTTATTTTTGTCACAGATCCCCTTGAGAATTTATCGCTTCTCTACCTAGGAAAAAACCATGTATATGCATTGATACATTGCTATATATTCACAAACCAAGTCTTTAAATGTTCTAGGCTTTCCAATCATCTGATTTTGCCTAACTCTTCAGACTCATCTCTCAACACTTGAAATTCCCACTGCCTGACCTTGAATGTGGCACACTTTCTAATACCTCCATGACTCTAAATCCATGGCTACAATGCCTTTCCACTTTCAAATGTCTTGCAAACTCCCATTCATCCAACAGAAGCAGCTCACACAGTCCTCCTAAGGAAAGCCTCTCTCTCACCAGGCTGGGTTCCCCCACATCCAAGCCTTCCCCACCATGGCATCTGCATCCCTTCCTATGTGGGAAGATGAGGCTGTGTTTGATAGCCCCATATGACTTCAGAGCACAGCACACAGCCAGATTTGTGAAGAAGGTGCTTAGGAAATATTGAAGGAAAAAATTCTCAGATGTTCTCAAAGTAGCTCTGTTCCCTCACTTGCCCACTCCCCTATGTCTTTGCTTAGCTGCACAGGGGAGAGGGTAACGCCATCTTATTGAGGAGAATGATGGCTATGTTTTCCTTCCTTCCTCTCTCAAGTTGAGATAAGCTGCTTCAGTTCTGTGCCCTCCCTGGGACTTCCCTTTAGCAGGCCACCAAACTCACACACTGGTGCCATCTACTGGTCAAAATTTAGTCTTGTTCTTTAATTAAGGCTGGTAGGCAGTTGATCTTTGACCGCTTGAATTCCTTTAGTTCATTCTGTTTCTGCTTGTAAGTAAGATGGAATTTCTCTTGTGCTAGCTGTATGACCTTGGGCAAGGTGCTTATCCACTCTGAGCTCCAGTATTTCTCTCTCTTGCCTTCTTTATCGCTCTATCTCTGTATCTATATCTTTATCTATCTATACACACAAATACATATACATATAGATGTATGTGTATATATTTTACTTAACTCAGGCCCTGGCAAATACAAATAGTAAAACCACTCAATTGATTAAAGTGGTTATAGTACTACTACTCATAGTAGCTGCTATTACTAATTTTATAAAAGAAGTGAATTTATAGACTTGAGTGAGCTAATAACTTTCATTTAACTAATAATGGACCTGTCAGGCCTCTTTACCTGAGTTCTCTGGCATCATTTGATGGTTTACTAGTCAAAGTATTTTTTGCAGCATTTATCTGCATTAAAAATGAAGGGAAAAATTAAAGAAATTAAAAACAACAGAGGCCTGTGTGTCTTCCTGGACCACTCTTTACATTCAAATGGCAGCTCATAGATTTTTGAGTGCCTTTGCCTTAGGACAAAAGTTTTAAAACTTATTTTTCATGCTTTATCAGGAAAACCCTGTTTGGAATTGAATGCATAAGTCCATTATGTAAATTAGATAAAAAATGGAGCTGTCTTGGTGAAGTCAAAATGGGGGACTCAGCATCCCTCCTGTGTTGCCCTTTCTTCTATAAACTAACTCTCTCCACCTCCTTCTGTGTGGCACTTTCAGGGGTCTCCAGATTGTGGGAGAAAACAGTTTGGAAACCACTGTCCCAATGATCAAAACAAGAATTAGTTGAAGGGTGGGGATTAATTAGTATTTTAACATGTCCAATGTTCTGTTTAAAATCCTTGTTTTGGACCCTAAGCTCCCAGCATTTCATAGCTCAAAAATTGCTTTAGTCCTTATGCCATAGGTTATAGGGATTTAAAATCCTTGGAATCCCAATATCCTTGGTTTTAAAGTATTATATAGCATAGAATTACAAATCCCCAAATCCTCAGGGACTTAAAACCTTAAAACCCTTGGAGCAGTAATTCCTAACTCAGAATGAGTTCTTCTCACTCCCTCACCCTCCTTTTTTACTGCACATGTGCTGTTATGTATTGTGTAGACATCTTGTCTTACTTTCTTCCCCTGTCCTGAAATGGCTTCCAATCTTCACCCCTCCCGTGGTTGCTCAGTGATTGGAATTCACTGTTCAGAGCCCAGTGTGAGTTCCCTTAAAGCAACTTCTACTCTAGTGCACAAACTCAGGAGAAAAATCTTTGTGCAAAACCTAGAATCTTCCTCCAGCTCCACCCAACTGTGGCCAATACATCCTAGTGCCCAATACTTTCCCACTGATTGCCTCCCCCTCCTCCTCCCTACACAAAACAACATAGAGAGAACACATCGTTTAAGGTGAGACTATTTGAGCTGGACCTTGAAGGATCAGATGGAGGGAGAAAACTTTCCAGAAAGTGGCAGGAGTTTTAATTCCTTCACTAAACAAATATTTATTGAGCACCTATTGTATGCCAGATACTAATACTGCTTTAAGAGAATGGGCTTTACAAACAAATGTACTTGGGTTTAAATCCCATAGGTGCCAGTGATAGCTGGCTCTCACTTGTCCTCTGCACTCTGAGACTTATGGTCAGCTCTCTGGCTCAATGCTCTCACTATAGCCTCTGTAGTTCTTTATTATACCATACTTGACCCCACCCAACACATGCTCATTGAAATAGTTGCAGATTTCTCCTCTGCCTCTGGGCACAGAAAGCCCTCTGCCCCTACTCCAGTCCCTGTTACCAATGCCTATTTCCCATCCCCTCCTCACAATTGTACCTACAGAAGTTATTTAGTGGGTAGACATTGTGTTTCCTTTCCTGCCTAGTTCCCTGGTGACCAATCCTCCTCATAAACATGTTCTATGACTTAAGTTCTCTTTTTGACTTTTCAAGAACTTGGTATTGGTTACTATGTTTTTGGTTTACCCCAGCTGCAAAGGCTTGCAGCAACCTCCATGCAAGCACACAAACCCAGATACAAAAACCCAGCAAAGGGCTGGAGGAGTGGCTCAAGCCACACAGCGCCTGCCCAGCAAGTGCAATAGCCCTGAGTTCAAACCCCAGTACTACCAAAGAACAAACAAAGCACAAAACAGCAAATACTGCTAGGGGGCTGAGGATGTAGTTCAATGGTAGAGCACTTGCCTAGCATGTGCAAGGGCCTGGGTTCCATCCCCAGCACTACAAAAAACAAAGAACAGCAAAGAATAAGTGCTCTGTAAGAAGTATTTATAACATTCACTCTGCCAGGTACTTGCTACTCAACATTATCTCAGATGGCACTGTAATTCCAACAATTGCAGGAGATAGTCACAATTACTGTCCCCATTTATGAATGAGAAAGCTAAACAGTTTTTTAATATCTGAATTTGTGCACTTGTGGGGAGGCTGCCATAAGCCTTGCAAGCTGGGGATAAACCAAAAACACAGTAACCAAAGCCAGGCCCTTAAGAGGTCAAAACAGGAAGTTAAGACCATCATTTTACAAAAGGTGTCCAGTGAGAAAGGAGACAAAGTGTCCACTAGATAATCACAAAAGCACAGTTGGGGGTAGGCCAGTAGGTGATTGTAACACCACTGGGGTCCCAGTCCCTGTCTAGAGGAGAACAGACAACAGGATGACTAGAAAGATGAACTGATAGCTCTTGAACTCCTAGTAGACAACCCAGCTAGGAACATTATACGGCCTAACTCCTTTCATACCCTGAAGGACTGGTACAGTTAGAGAAACTGAGGCTTACATTGTTTTTTTTTTGTTTCTTTTTAAACTTGCCCCAAATGACACAGTTGGTAATCTATGGCACCTTGTAAGTGCCAGTTTCTTCACATGTATTACCTCGTTTAATCCTTACAACAACCCCAAGTGTAAGCATGATTGTTGTCCTGGTTGATAGACGAAGAAATTGAGGGGTCTGCTCAAGGTCACACAAATAATAAATGGATGAGCCAGGATCTGAGATGACAGCACTTGCCCACGGTTATGTTAAC